TCCCACGAACTTCGATGACGCATAAGGCTTTATTAATTGCGACGAGCTCGGACGTGCGCACTGAGGTGTGTTTCGGCAAAGACAATGACCGAGCGGCTTGACCATTTACAAATGTAGTACCGACACCCACCTCCGTTTTAAGGCCACCAGTATATGCGGCTTGAAATCCTATGTACGACACGATATGCTGCGGAGCCTTTGATCTGAAGTCGCCTGGAGTCGCTTCTTATGCGCTGATGCATGAAAGGAAGACATCCACTTCGGTGAAATTAGCTCACACTGAGGGACCAATGGAGGCGCCACCTTAGCACGCGCCCGAGCGACCGGTTGGATACCCTTCGCCCGGGTGGAGGTAAATTTAACCCCCTGAGATCTCAAAAACTAAGAGAGCTAGACACACCAAATTCACAGGTGTGTTGGGCTGTACGTGAACTCTCTTGTAACAAAGTTTGAGGTTCCTAAGACGGGTCAGATAAGCTTTCGGGTCCAAGCCTTCGGGTCAAACAAGGTCAAACAAGGTCCAACTCCAGGTTGGTTTCTAAAGTACCCCCAGAACTTGAATACCTTTTTAAGCAAAGGAACACTGGTGCTCATTTAAGGTCAGTGACCTTGCTTGACATTTTGAAGGTCATGGTAACCAAAATCATACAAGACTGCTGAGCTCTCCATTTGAATAAGCGACAAAGATTACGTTAGGCAATATGTTCCTAAACACCACGCGTTGACCTGGGTCATTTTAGGTCAGTGACCTATGCTGGCCTTAAAGAGGTTCATGGAGAAGATGTATCACTCGGTTCCTGATATCAATAAATTGAAAATGAGCCCCAGAAACTAGCCCATACAGCAAACTCTAGAGAAATAAAACAGATTGATTTTGACTTTGGTCTGACTTTCATACGACCCTAGGTCAATAGAATTTGTTCATTCAATTGTTGAGTTGCCTAAGAAACTACCTCAGAGATGTGTGGCTTCGTCTAGCATTCTCTTGTTGCATCAGATTCAACGATTCCCTAGAAATTGTCTTCGCTGTATCCATGGCCTGACTTCGACTGCCGTAGGTCAGCGACCTCACCGGGTAGCTGAAAATCGTTGGCACTAAACAATCCGCTTTTCAGTTCTTTAAAGCTGTGCAAATTTGGCGCGGCTGCACCAAATTTTGGCAGGCCAAATGGTTTCCGAGCGGCGCTGCTGCGCTACGCCGTTCGGAAACCGTTCTTGAAAACCTTTTGGGGGTCAAATTGACCACCACCCGCGCGCGTGTTAACGCACCACGCAAACTAATATCGCTTTCTCGGAACAGCTCCTTCATCTCAACGCCAAATGGCATAGCATACGGCCTTCGGCCACTTTGAAACATGCTTTCAACGATGCGTGAAGAAATGCTCGGCGACTCGGATGGTTTGCAAATTGGGCCAGCTTCCTAAATTGTCGCATGCCAAGCATTTCCCTTTTCAGGGCCAACGCCGGTTCATTTTCTTCCACCGCGAGACCAGCAGCTTATGACGTTCTGGATGCTCCGGTTACAATGCGTAATGCGGTATGATGCACAGTGTCTAATAAACGTTTGCTCCTGCAAACGTTTTATTTATAACCGGGCGCGTGGTCATAAGTAACACATCCAGTCAGGTTTCGGGCGTATGAGTGAGCGGTAAAGTATCAGTGTGTTCTCCTGTCCGCTGCATAAGGTGTTCAAGACACACACTTCGATATGTCCAATGCTTTAAAACAGTTGTCACGTACAGTTTTCAGGCGCAATCTCCACGTCAAACAATGATCAAACTGCAGACCCCAGGGATTGGTTCGGAATGGGCACTGGATTGGTCCGGAATGGTCTCGCCGCAAAGCCTCAAAGCCATGGCGGGGCATTGGCGGCGTCTGCAGAAGTGCAAGGTGACTGTTTGCGATACTGAGAAACGGAATCCGTTTACAACACTCCATCTTTCCACGCTTATCACAGCAACTGCAAGCGGCGCTCCAGAAAAGCACAACTTGGCGAGGCGTACCAGCTGGCGACATCATCCACGAGGAGTGCGGCTAACCGACTTTGGAAGGGAGTCACCAATATCGTTTATCACCACAGCGAACAAAGCACGCTCTTTCTCTAAAACCAGCGCGGATGATGGTATTCAGAGTTATATGGTGATTAATCATACTGCTAGCTTTCCTGAATCCACAATGAGCAGCCGTAAAATCGTTGTGCCGCTCTAACCACCGATAAGCGTACATCTACCATACGTTCAATCAACATACAAATGCACGTCAGTGAGATAGGGCGATATTCGGCATGGTCAGCTCCACTCTTACCAAGCTTGAGCAAACGAACAATGTATGACTCACGCCTGGACTCCGAACAGCCTCCAGTCGCCCAGTCTGTTGTGGCCTACTAAAGGGGCCTCAACTACTGCAGTGGGAAGTTGCCTGAGCTTGGTGTTGTGGACTAGATCCGCACCCTCTGCCACGTCGCGCAGCGATCCGGTCGCGGACATCAGCTCGGGCATCGTAAACCGTCGGTTATACAGCTGTTCGCTCGCGCTGAAGTTGATGGAGGATGCCTCGCAGCGGATCCGGTGGTGCATAAATTGCGGGATGACATCGTGATGACATCTTCGCGTCGTCCGGACAATGCGCGGGCGATTTCATCCGCTACATCAACTGGACGTATGACATGTCCGTTGATAAGGCGCGCAGGGTGTGTGTGGTACAGACGAGTCCTGCCCGACAATGCGCTTGATCCGCGCCCATACACTGCATGCAGGTGTGTGGCAGTTACGTTAGCCGACGTACGCTCGCCACGAAGCTCGTTTAGCCTCGAGAATGGCGCGTATAGCAGCCGCTCGTGCTCGTCGAAATGCAGCTAGATTCTCCGTCGTGCTCCGACGTTCAAACTTCCTAATGGCCCTCTCATGCTCACAGACGGCGTCTCGACACTGCTGTGTCCACCAAGGGCCAGGAGGTCGGCGAGGGCAGCCCGACGTTCGCGGTAAACGCCTTTCCGCAGAACGCAAAATCAACGAAGTCGGATTCTCCACTGAGGGAGGTTCACTCACTGGTTGCATAGTACAGAAATGCTCGGTTCTCGCTCGAAACTCAGTCCAGTCATCTTTTTTGCCACTTCAGCGCTGTGGTCGAGAACCAAGGAGAACGTCGGCCCGGTGATTGATCCAGATGGGAAAGTGATCACTTCCCATTGGATCGTCTGACACCGACCAGCCAAAATGGTTGGTCAGTCGTGAGCTTAAAACATTAAGGTCCATTACCGATGCCTGTCCCGACGGGAGTGTAAAATGAGTTCGAGTCCCCGTCTTTAAGAGACATAGCCATTCTTCACGTATGCAGGCTTCACAGGGCTTCCGCAGGGTATTCGTCTGGACACATCCCACGCTGAGTGCTGAGCGCTAAAATCACCCGATATAAATAAGGACAGGCGGCGGACGATGAGTTACCAGGTGTCTCACTTGAGCGGACGGAGACCTGATCACAGGAGGCAAGTTTATTTGAGCATATAATGATCGTATGGCAGTTTAAGAACACCCTTGACTGCGACATTTTAAAGCTAGCCTCAGTGCTTAAGACCAGCCTTTGAGCAGACGCGCCTGTGGTGCACGGCTAGGAGAACGCCACCATGTGTCAATAGGGTCAGTTGGTAAATTTCAGCCTCTCTGGCTCCAAGCCAGTGCTTGTACTCGAAAAGGCTGAACGAAAAATGAGTCAATGACCGCTTTCCAGCCCATCCATGCCACATATGTACGTGGGACAGTCATGAGATCTGTTGGTGCGTTGTCGGACAGTTATGAGATCTATTGGTGCGTTGTTGGACAGTTATGAGATCTGTGTCCGCGATGCAGCCGGCAAATTCGCCCACACTGTGCAGCTGGTGCGAAGTCCTCTCTCGTTGAGGTGATCTGACAAGTCTTTCAAACCGCTCAAAAAATAAGCGGATCCACGGTCGTGCAATACAGCACGGGCTGTTTTGCACACACCAATCCACACTTATCGCTACCAGTGTTCGCTTTCTCCGTCGTTGCGCTATAGTCACGTGATACTGCGGCACCAAGTCGTCGAAATCCGAGTTGCGCAGCCCGCAACTTGAAAACTTTATCTGTTCTGTGTTTGTCGAAAAGGGAGGTGAAGTAGCGTTAACACTGAAATGTTGCGAGAATGCCCTCCTGATCATAGCTTGCAGGCAAATGCCTGACAAGTTATAGGTCACAACTGTTGAACAAATGTGATCCTCGTTGAAAAATTGCATGACCCCTGCGACCCGTAGTTGCAAAAGGTTTTATGGAAAAGGTTATGGTCAGGCTAGACCGCTGAAAATGACTCTTTTGTTACCGTAGTTCAAGTGACTCACTCAGCCTGCAGGCTTACCCGTAGTCATGCACGTTAAACGTTCACAGAAAACACCTCATACGAAACATCAGGAGGGTACGCTGATGTGAACCCCGACCCACTTTCAAGCCTCCGATGGTGATAAGAAGACGGGACCAAGATGGGTGCTTGGATACCAACGCCCGTCACAAGCCGTCGCGTTTTGTCTAGATGTGCGAAATTTGTCCAATGGCCCCTCGCGAAGCCAATGACGGAAAAACAAAAGACAACAATCACAGAGGACTCTGCATCGAAGCGCTGCTGTTATCGTGTTTGAAAATAACATTAGATCACAACGAGTCACATCAGACACCACATCGAAGCACACAGGCGCTGGCCGCTGGACAGGGACCGCCCGTAACCCATGTGCACCAAACGCCGAGGGACACGCCGCAGGCACCCCGTGCCGCATGCCGTCAGCGACACGCGAAGAGTCGACAGACGGACGTTAGGCGGGACAACCACGAGCGCATCCAGGGATGACACCCGCCCACACCCACATACATACAGACCGCTAACAGACAGCATCACCATTCCAACGCAGCTGCGGTGTCCCACCCCACGACAGGAACCCCACCGCCACCGAGCGCGGCGGCCAGCAGCCGGCGGCCAGCGGCAACGGCGCCACTCACCTCGTAGAACTGGCGCTTGCTGGCGCTCTTGAGCGCGGCCGTCCACTCCTCCATCTCGCGCCGCGTCTCGGCGCGTAGTGCCAGGCACCGGAAGGCGGTGATCACCTGGCGACACAGCGCGCGCGCACGCTCAGACCGGCCGGCGGCGGCGGCGGCGGCGGCGGCGGCGCGAACGCGTCACGGCGGGGGGCGGGGCGCCGGACGACGGGGGGACGTCACGGACACCAGGGAACGGGGGGGGGGGGCAAGCCGTACCGGGTGGTTCGAGTGATGATGACGCCGCTGAGCCGGCGCTCCGGGAAGCGCGGCGTTTCCGCTCATGCAATGGGGACGTGTGGATGAGGCACGGCATGGCTGCCCTTTCACGTAAAGTGCGATCGTTACTTACGTGCCGTACCAAGATCACGGTTCAGCCGGCAGTTACTTGTTTTTGCCCCTGGTTAGCATTAACCTGTTACAGGTACTACACTAGATAACAGTCCACCTTAACTGAACAGCTGTGATGAATTTGCCATCTGATCTCATGGTCACTCCATAAGTGGTGCGGAACTCTTCCCACCACACTCGCACCATGAGATCGCTGCTATACCTCCTGCGGCATGCGATTTCGTTATGCTGCTGGTGATACTAGCCACTGATGCTTCTAGCCCGCCAACTCGAGGGTCGCTTGCCCTCCAGTTCTGCCGCAGCCGATAAATAAGTATAACATAATTTTTACGTAAATGGGAACGTGACGCATGTCGCTACGCACCCTTGTATGGAGCGTCAACGACTGTGGAGGGCATATTAGCGTTCAGGGGCCCTGGCAGCGCCGGGGATCGAACACGAACCTTTACGTGAGAGCCGAAGGCACTTATCACTCGGGCGATACGCCACACACAAATCAAAATGATGTATGTTATCAAACTAAGCGTAACGTTTTTGCCACCAGGGGTGCGGGTGGCGACGCTGGGGCTGCGGGTGGTGACGCTAACCACTTCTAGTCGTTGCAGGTGTCGATAAATACACAAAAAAGTCCATGGAGGCTTCAGTAACATTCTACTTGCCAGTTGAGCGACCTAAGGATTACGCAACACATAGCATTGTCGAGTCGTCCCTACCCGGGGTTCGTGAGCACGATTTCCAGATACAACGGCCGTCAATTGGCTCTCGGTCAATGTCGCGCAAGGTGCGATGACGCAATCAAATAATGACGGAATTGAAGAGCATATTTGCTTAAAAGAAAAACTGTGTTGTCTACAGAAATATATTCATTTAAAAGCATACCAATCGTTATAAGTGAGTTTATTACGTCATATCTGATGCTTGCTCAATATCTACAAATATGAAACATTACCTTTTAGCTAAGTCGCTTTCGAGAAGTGACGCAAATTCAGTTAGTCGATTGGTCATAATACAATTATAGCAAAATTGCGTCAGTCAACTGGTGATGATAGAATTGCAGCCAAATTGCACCAGCCGTCAAACAGTTAAAAAAACCACATGGAGCTTCTGCTGGCTGATGCGGTGCACGCTGCTCGCATACGCAAGTGCCGCTATAACCAACCACAGGAATCCGCCAGGCGGAAGTGTGCGCACTTCGCGCGCACGGGTCGTGGTACAAAAGCTGACTCCAGAACGCGTGCAATTTTGAGACGCACATTCGCTCGGCGACGCATCTTTGATGCCGATCCGCTGGCGGAGCGCTCCGATGGATCCGATGGCGGAGCGCTCCGCTGGATCCGATGGCGGAGCGCTCCGCTGGACCCGCTGGCGGAGCGCTCCGATGGATCCGATGGCGGAGCGCTCCGCTGGGTCAGTTGGTGGAGCGCTCCGCTGGATCCGCTGGCGGAGCGCTCGTGTGCAGTGGGGCGCTTCTCGACGCGAGCTCCATCCGCGGCGACGTGTGCCGAGCTTTCTACAGCTTCTGCATTAGTAAGATGGATGTGGGGCTGTTGGACTAAGTGGCAGGGCCTGGTCTGAGTCGAAGATCTTATTTGTTAATGTAAAAAGCAAACATAGGTTACGTCATTTCAAGGAGTCCGCCACATTGGTTCCGGAACATGAGCCGTGACATCGGCCAACTGCCTGTCCACGGTCCCAGCCACTAACGTGATGAGCGAGCCAAATTACACGCTATTAAGTGCAGGTTCGACAAGCCTTCTAAAAGAACTAGTGTGTAAGCATTAGCCACATCTTTTAGTGTGATCGTTACACATGCGGAAAACCACAGGATCCAGGTGTATTAAGTTCGCACATGTCGCACTGGAATGAAAAACGGGCGAAATATGGCCAAAATATCGTTGCTTGGCTTGAAAACGCTAACATTTTGTGCGGAGCAGGGTGGTCTTATCATGATGACTGGTACACTTATCATGACTGGCGCAGGGACTACGGCCATTCCATATAAGGATGGTCTCAGTGGTGGGTAATCATCACTGGAGGTAAAGAACCTTTCAAACGCGTAATGTCATTACAAACGCTTCGAAACGCCAATTGAAAAGTTCGTTTTGGTGTAATATGTTCTTCTTTGCTTTCGTTTCTGTTTTGTTTTGTTTTTGTTTTTTGGCTTCGTCAGATGCACATTGCTTTGCGCAAGTAACCATACGCCCAAATTCCCTTACACGGAAAAGCAAAACGTTTCCCAACCAGTGCATATATATATATATATATATATATATATATATATATATATATATATATATAATGACCTTTGCGTAGGTTATTAGGACCAAACACACCGTATTTATGAAACATTGCTGCCACGTGCCGTGAATTTCCGCCCTGCTTCCCTTGGCGGTCGTGGTACGGTACTCGCTACATTTAAACCCCTTGAGGCCCGGGCCCTGCTTCAGAGCAGAAGTTTTCTGCGTGGCTCCGGTGCGACCTGAGTCTTCTTCCAGGGACTTGAGCTTTCGACCTTTTTGCTGTCGCCTCGGGCCGTCGCCTTCGCGACAGTTTCGCTAGACTGGAGGTTGCTTTAATCCTGACGGGCCGGCCTTATCGCCGCAGGGTAGATCCCAGAAATCATTGAGCACATCGCGATTTTCTACAACTTCTCTCCCCAAATCAAACAGTAAGACATTGACTCCCGGGGTTAGCCTGGGACTCTGGACTCTTTTCAGATAATCTTTTTTTGTATCCCAGGACATTCTCGAAAATATAACGGCCAAAAATCTCACAGACGACTGGCGGAACGGATGAAAACGGACTCTCAAATATTCGAAGGTTCTCGGAGACATTCTCCTGCTGCGAGCCTTTCTCCTAGGTCAGGAAACCCTTGGTGGATGAAGGGCCAGGGAAAGGATAGAGGAGCCGATTAACTCGGCTGCTATCCATGCTTTCAACTGCTCCTCCCCCTACTCGTATCCCAAAGCAAGCTAATCTCTACACCTGAGGCTACTACCCAAAGCGCTGGAAGTGTGGATTTTCGATCATGATGCCTCCTTGCAGGCCCTCTGTCCCTCACATTTAGGTGCAAATATGCGCCACGTCAGGCTAGACTCAATAAGCGCAAGCTTACAACAGCTCGTCCGCAAACAAACTCTCCACACGCCGCAAGCGGAGCTGAAAGTAATTTTTGGCACAGCCACCGGGTGAATTACCAGACGTGTTTCGGTCGGACCAGCGGTACGGGTACTAAGTATGTCATGTGATTTCAGGAATAAACAAGTCTTCACTTTCATACCGGGCACACATCCTTATTTGATCCGGAATGCACTACAGCTGAGTAGGCGCTCAATTCATTCGCTATTTAAAGGCGGGTGTCCGCTTTCAGAAACTATTCAAACAGGGAGCGCCAAATACAACCTCGGCCACGGTTATGGTGAGCCATGTGCCAATACCGTGCACGCTCCGAAAGCGAACATATTAAAGCCAAAACTTTGCAGAATCGCCACCGCCCGTAGCCAAAATTCTTCCAAAAATTATCTTTGCTAAATCACGATGCGTCATTTTTACAGATTCCGTACCACCGCGAGCCAACCACCCACCTCTGCTTTCCCTCCACTCCCGAGACCTGCTCAGCTATCCCCTGACCCCGTGCCAGACCAGCCCTGTTTCGCCAATCAGAGATCAGTAAGACCAGCCCCAGATCAGAAATCAATAAGCCATGCCCGGGTCAGGCGCTAGCGCACTGTACACTGCCGCCGCCCAAGCTCGCATGAGCGGACCGGACCGCCGGCGCTGGCTCGGCAGCACAGCAGGTCCGTGTCGCCGCTGCCAGCGCGCCCGGCGCCGTTCTCACGGTCCAGGGGAGACGCGGTCCAGCCCAGAGAGGTGGGAGGCATCCTGTTCCGTATCGCCCCAAATAGGAGCGCCTCGCGTGGCTGGGGACTTGGCAGGCGTCGATTGCGTGAGGGGTCAAAGGAGAAAAAATGAAAAAGACTGTGCTTTTACGGAATGTTAACCAGCTTACGTCCCAGGGCACTGTTTGATAACCTGTGGGTTGACCTAAATGACCTTTCGGGGTACACACGAATAAGTTTGAGATACGTTCTGGAACCAACCATCGTCCTCTTCCTTATTTAGTTCAGCCATTTAAATTCCAAAGCAGGTCATCTGGCGATTTTTCGTGCACTTTTGGAACGTCAACGGAAGTGCATGCTGGCCTAGGAGATGACGTCACCCACTAGGTCTGTGTTATTTTGGATCGTAATTTGGAGCGCTAAATACTGCCGGCTGCCGTTAGGCTTTAACGGACCGAGAAATTTTAATCATCGCCAAAAGGACCCTTACAAACGTACGCACCACACAGCATGCTCAAAACGTTTTGCTAATACTCCGTCCGAGGGTGTGGTCGTTTGCCGCACATTTGAACCGGCCCTAAAAATGGGCAAGAGGGTGCGATTTATGGAATCAGATTCAACAAGCACCCCGACGGCCGGTTGAGTGCTCCGCGCTCGGGTGGGGAGGGATCAGGTTGACCCCAGGGTCTCAAAAAATAAGGGACGAAGTGACGCGCGCTGTGCAATGCCTTGATCTGTGCAGTTTTTCCATTTTCCCTTAAATGCTTCTCAGGGGGCTGTTGGCCCTTGCCAAAAGGATGGAGGTGGCCCTGGAAATCTATAGTGCTTAGTTTTACTGTAAACTGCTTTTGCAAACTTCTGCAACTTTTGCAACATTGTTCAAATCCTCTTTAAGTAGCTCTTGTGCCTTAAGGGACCACTGAGGCTGTTTCTATGGCGTCACCTTCCCTCGTTTATTCACGCCCTTTTCATTCAATGCCATAAGCGTCCCCATATGTTCATGCAATCTGGTCGTCTTGCAAAGAAAACTACACTCAGTAATGTGTGTAGTTTTGTAGTGTAATATAGCGTGTAGTTTTATAGTGTAGTAATGTGTACCCCGTGCTCCTTCCAGACCATATACAAAAGTAAGGCTGGCTAATTCCTTACAAGACACATAGGCACTTCACTGCCTTGGATGGAGAGTGAGCTTGAGACCATGAACATAATAATATTGGGAGGAGGCCGAAGAATGGTTCTTCCCCTACTATACCCGCCTGGCACGACTTGAGCATGAACGCCCTGCAGGACATCTCGTCTGCTCCCCCCCCCCCCCACCCCACCCCACCCCACCCCACCCATCCCATCCCATCCCATCCCATCCCATCCCATCCCATCCCATCCCATCCCATCCCATCCCATCCCATCCCATCCCATCCCATCCCGTCCCATCCCATCAAACTTAACCCCTTCAAAAGCCAGAACGGCCAGCAGATATTGACATTAAGGTTCAGTCATCTGTGACGCTTCATTAACGCGCTCCCCATTTACCGCCGCTTCTGAATTTCGTGATCATTACATTGCGTTCGAATCCAAGAAATAGCCCGGATTAACAACAGGATGATCATCCCCGGTTCAGTACAGTCCAATTCGTGATCTCTCGCGCAACTGACATAACTAACCGTTTATTGGTGCGGCAGGTTGCCTTTGGGTTCATTTTCAGCAACACAGACAGACGGACAGTCAGTCAGCGAAGCACTCTCTGATGCTGCCTTTCGCATCGCGACAATGAAATGGCGACCAGAGGCCTTAAGCGGCGGGTGATTGGCTGCCTGCCCCTCCGCTTGGCCAGTGACCCTGGCAGGCGTCCGGTATTGCAGGTCGAGTGCATCATTCTCGCCAAGCGCTCGGCGAGCGAGGCCCGCCCCACACACGTATTGCCTTTTTTTGGTATGCCTTCGTGCCGCCGATCACTAGTTGCGCATGTCGTCCCTGCGCATCTCACCTTTCGGTCGACGTTATTGTATCGCCCGTTGCTCTATTCCCATTCACATTCAGTGGCCCCATCACAGTCCAACCAAAAAATAAATAAATAAAAGGAACAAACAAAACATCCGGCAAGCTGCCAGTCGGCTTTTTCTCTCCGGGCCGCGTGCAGAGGCCGGTCTCGATCGCCGGGCGTCGGGAAAAAACTACCCACTCCACCTGCAATAGCGGGTCCGGCTGGGGCGTGCGCGGGCGTTCGGGCGTCACTTGAGGAGCGCGGCGCCGCCCCCGGCCGCGGCGCCGCGCGGAGGCGGCCGGCCGCGCTCGGCACTCACCTGGAAGCAGTGGCCGCCGCCCGGCTTGGCGCCCGACTCAGCGATGCTGAGGTCGATCAGCTCCACTTCGTCAAACACCTCGTACTGGGGAGCAGGCGGACGGGCGTCAGCGGCACGCCCGACGCTATCGCACGGCGGCTGCCGGCCGGCGCTGGTCCCGTCGGCGCCGAGGCGTGTGATGCTGCTCTCCCGCTCCGGCCGATTACAGGCTCAGATCCACGGTCTGTTGTCGCGCTACTTGGAAGTTGCCAAACGTCGATTATTGATGTAGTTGCTTGGTGGACTGGCGCAAAATTCGACAAGCAAAACCACCGCTGGTTGTCAGCTTTCAAGACAGCATTGAGTAAGGAACCGGGGTGAGTGGCATGACCAAGACTGGGAACTAAATCCTTCATTTCACCACTGCCAAAAGGCGCCCCCTAGGCACGAGGCAGAAAATATCAAGAAATACGGAGGTGCATCGTGGCGCTCAGTGAGAACAGGAATGTGTAACAACTGAAAAATCCCAAATAATGTAACGAACTAAGCATTTACTTATTGAAAACTGATGTGAAGGCACCCGATAATTACGCTGGTTCCCAACGTAGTTATCATTTAGGAATTGCCAGTCAACATTGCCAGTTGGATACCTTTTACGAGTCGGTTAAAAAGAGATGGTGACTTCAAAAGCGTAGCCCATTGCGGTCCCAGTCTTAATGAGCTTTTTTGAAGATTTAATCCGAACCTTCTGGATGGATAGATTCCAGGGTCACAGCTCACGCAAATCAGTGTTTGTTGCGCGGGCCCTGGCTGCTACCATCCGACCGCGAAATTCCAGGCCAACGGCAGAACTTAATAGCGATATAATAGCCAACGACAGAACTTAATAACTTAAAAAGTTCAACGTGCCGCGGAGCTCGACACGGTCCGCCATGCCCGTTGACGTCACCTGACCTTCAGCACGGGCGTTGCCACCGGACGCGGGCCATCCCCGTCGAGACCAAAAAGCGAGCGATTGAAGCGACTCGAACCCACCCCATCACGGGTGGGTGGGTCGGAAGGCAGGTGCTATAACCAACTGAGCTACCGGTACGGACAAACGAACGTTTTGAAACCGAATACATCAAAATATCCAAATATATACAAATATCCTGCTTATTTCTTGTTTTCCTTTGGGGGGGTTGGACAAACAATGAATGAAATCTTCGCCTCCTGCTGGAATTTGCGATTCAATAGCAGCACAACAATGCATCACCCAAAAGCGCCACATTTAATGTAAGACCGTGATGACGTCATCTGGGACTTCCGTGAGCAAGTGGAAGCCCATTCTGTGCGAAGTACAGCTCAAAAACGCATCACCCAAAAGCGCCACATTTAATGTCAAGCCGTGATGACGTCATCTGGGACTTTCGTGAGCAAGTGAAAGCCCATTCTGTGCAAAGGACAGTTCTATCTTGTCCCAAGGACTTGACCAAGACGACGGCACGTCGAGACCTTCACTCAGCAGTGGCCGCCTCACGCCTCTGAGATCCGTCTGCGTTTCCGGCGTGACATACCCCGCCACTGGCGCCGGCCGGTCGGAACTGCGCGCGGCGCCGGGAGATGGCAGCACCAGCGAGGCCGTCACGTGCCCGCAGCCAACACGCGAGTCTGCATCCGGCCTTCACACGGCAATTGTTGTGAAAGTGTGGCTCTAAATTATGCAAAGAAGTGGGTGTCTAGTCTGAAGCGGGCCAGACCCGGATGGCGAGCCGTTTGGTATTCGGGCACGAGTTTGCGTAGCCCGGATGAATGTTTGCGCACAGAATGAGCATAGCGTTTGAAGAAATCCCGACATGAATGCTGACAGTAAAATCCACTTCACTGCTTCCTCCTACAACCTCACCGCGCCCCGCTTGTCCGGGGCAGGCGGCATGCGTCAGCCACGAGTGGGCTGAGAGACCCTCTAGAGAGGGGGCCCAACCGGGTGCCCAGCGCACATCCCTCAGACGCGTCCCTGCGCGGGCTGATAAGGCTCGGCTGATGGCCCACCAGGCGCATACAGTCCTGCCCCATCCTAATCCATTCCGCTTCATCCCATAGCCCTGAAACACTCGTTTCTGGTCGAAAGGGCCTTACTTTAAATAGCCGATAGCCTGCCCGTGGCGGTGAGTTAGGAGGATGGCTGGCCCAGGCTCACCTTCGTATCTTTTGCATAGTATAGTTTATTGCCCTTCAGCTTGAAGTACCGCCGCTTCCATCGTTGGAAGGAGGAGGTCTGCTTCATGAGATATCCCTCTTTTGTACAGACCTGAAACGCACACGGCGGCTCGTCATCTTGGTAATTAATAGGTGTAACTGACGAACAGCTCCAGCCGAAAACAGCAGCCTGCCTTCCAGTGGGAGCCGACCGCGCTGGCAGACGTAGCCGCCGCTTCTGCCCACTTCTGCGCTTCCCAAGGGCTATTAAAAATACACATGCATGCAATATACCAACAACAAACAAAAAAAAAACGGCAAACTCGTGAAACACTACAGTGCGTACGGTCGACGGGATGGAGGTGCTAATGCTGAACCTCGCTCACAAGGCCCCCAAATGATGAAAAGGCGAAGCAGTCGTCCAATGAACAGAAGAAAAGTCCAGGGACAGCGTAGCCCTGATCCAGCACGCTTGATTGACGGACTCGAGGTGGCGGTATCACTCCACAAACGCGACATCCAAGAACACGATTACTCCATGTTGTGCGTCAGCTGTCCCCCATGCAACTGGGGTAACAGACTGCGCTGCTGGCGATCACAAGATTGTCGGATGCATTGCAAAATACATGAAGGGTGTCATAAATACAGCGAGCCGTGGATACTGTACACTCTACTAGGCTAAATCCCAATGCGCACACAAAAACGCTCCCGAGACGCATCAGGGCACGCGTCACACCAACACAGACGCCCCGTGGGTGCCGCCGGCACGCGCCTCGCGCGGCCAAGGCCGCGTTGCGTGGGTCAATATGCCGTCCGCCGAGACAGCGCCGGCGGCTTTCATTACGGAGGCAGCGGCGGTGCTCGGCGGTCGGTAGGTCGGCCGGCCACGCCCACCATGGAGCGTCCGCCGGCCACGCCCACTGAGGAGCGTCGGCTGGCCACGCCCACCGCGGAGCGTCGGTCGGCCACGCCCACACACACACGGCGCTAGCCGGCCACGCCCACCCACCGGGAGATGACTGTTTGAAAATTATATGCGGTGTTTTGTTTCGAGTTGATGATGAATACCACGCTGCTCCGACAACACTGCGTGACGGAAATGACTATTGTTTCAACAGCTTCTTGTAGATGACGCCCAGATGCCCATGTCCCAGCTCACTGCCGAACGAAAACCGGCTGTTTCTAAATAACTTAAGTCATGTCATGTTCGAGATCAAGTTCTCCAGCCTCAACAAAACCAGGAGAAAACAAAGCTCATCCTCAAAAACCGCAACACCACCAGCGACCGTTCGACAGCTCCCACTTCCTTCCCCTCCTCCACCATGTGGCGGGGGAGGGGAGGAGAAAGCGGAGGGGGGGGGGGGGGCGGCGTGCCGCCAGGCCTGGCTCGGTGACTCGCCATAACACCAGCCGCTCAGACCGGCATCCGTGTCATGCGTCACCGCGTTCTCGCAGGCGCGGTCCAGTGACGTCATCACGTTAGCGTGCTTTCCCTGCATACGGACGCTGGCACCATAAGTGGCGACGAGGGCACGGCACTTGGCACGTAAAACCCCTTCTGCCGCGGGAACGCACGGACGGCAGCCGCCATGAGTCACGCTGGTGCCGGAATCCGCAAACAATATGGCAGAAGTCTCTGCTCTCAAACCAGGCCTTCCACAGCTACCTACCACTTTGATGAATGTTTCCTTTTCTGTAAATAACGTTAATGACGGGAGATCAAAATGGCAGGGAACATTTGGTTCAAAGGTAGCAGAGCAAACAAGTAGACAGCTGTCACTCACAGAACATTTGATGTCCTTGTTGGTAGATATTTTCCTATGAAATGTTTTTGCTGGCTCTGTCTCATCATCACTATCAGATGAGTCCTCCCCAACAGAAGCCACAGCTTGGACAGCATCTTCATCTATGCTCTTGGGGGCTTGATCCCCATCATGAGGGTCTTTGGTGGCCATGTGCACCTATGGGAATGCAAACAGGTTTCATCATTCTGTGGTGCCCAGAGATCAGGATCTCATAGTGCAACAAATCACACATGTCACAGAGAACAGAACACATTGGCCTGCATTGAAATATATGCAAGGTGCAACAATACTTTTGCAGAATCAGCAATGCCCATTCAACATACAATTCATCCTCTAATTTCTACCATAACTCATCCTAGTTCTATCACAAGGACCACCTTGCCTGTTCACAGCTACAAGTTTGGATGCATGTGTGAAGCACAAATAATATCGCATGGCAATATAAAAGTATTTAACAGAATACATAGCAGCCCAGCCATTGCACTAAAACAGAACAATACAGCATCCATTAAGTTCAGTACCTATTTAATAGCTTGAAGATGACAAAATTTGAGGCTCTGAGAAGACAAGAAAGCAGTTTATAAAAAGCCTAAGCATGCTTCAAATGTCTCAACAGTGGTTTTAAGTCCATGCAAGCATACATGCAGCAAATGTCCTAAGTTAACTTCAAGATTTTGTTTTATTGAAGAATGTGACTTGACAGTACAAACATACAGTGTCTTACATGAACTGTGGATTACAAGTATGAAATATATTGGTCAATGAACAA